TGTATCTTTCTTCTTCCTCACATTTTAATAAAAATTGTGTAACATGTGCCAGGGTGCATTGTTCTCCCGTGATCTCACTTATCATGCCTTGCCAATCAGGTTCCAGCTCTCTGGTTTCCGATTGAATGGAACGACTAGCAGGATTAATAATTTTATTCGATGCATTTTTAATATCTCTTTGTGTAATTACCGACCAGGATTCGGATAAAATGTCAATACAGTTTTTTATTGTGTAGTCGGAATAAAATTCACTTATTCCTCCATCATACGTTAAAACACGTTGCAGGAGTTTCTGGCGGAAAATTCTTTTTGTTTTCTCCATGATCCCTTCTTGATTCATTGATTTAGAAATACAAGATCTTGAATTGGTCGGTAAATACATAATTTTAAATTCTTCATTTTCTTGCAGTGAAACATTATGGGCTTCGCAATTATCTAACAATAGGATTACTTTCCCCGATATTTGTTTTTCCTCCTGATATTGTTTTACAGATGGTTTGAAATGGTTTTCAAACCAATCTAAAAATAATGTTCTGTCTATCGATGCATTTGTCTGCGATTTAAAAATTACAGGCAATGAAACCTCGTGTCTCAATGCTCTTGGGTTTTTATATTTATAAATTACAAGAGGCATAATCTTATGCGTGCCTAACGCATTTGCACATAAGCCAATTGTAATAAGTTCTTTTTTCGTCTCATGTCCACATAGATTTTTTTCTCCTCCAGTCAGTATTTTCGTCGGAACGGTCTTCCATAGAAGTGCACTTTCATCCATATTGTAAATATTTTCTAAACTCATATTTTCTTCTTTTATCATTTCTTTTAAATTATTTACAAATGCATCAAGCTCAATCTGATCAACATTATTTTTCTGCTTGTTCCTATCTACTAAGTGTATGCCATTACGTCTTTTAAATTTGTTTAACCATCCACGACTTACTTTAAATCGCGAATATGACGGCAAATTTTCTTTGAATTCCATCGCTTTTTTTAACATAAGAGCATCGGTTACACGGTAACCAAATGTTCTTCTTTGTTCGAGCCATGCCAATAATTGTTTATCTACTTCGTTATACAGTGGCTTGAATAATCTTCGTCGCTTTTGTTCGCGGCTACTTTTATCTGCAAACGCATTTATTTTTGTAGCATTTTTTTCAATTCTACCGAGTGTTCTGGGCCCAATGCCATATTTAATTGCAATTTGTGCAGGTAACAATATTTTCTCTCGAAGATCCTTCAAAACAGCTAAGCGTTGCTGCATGTTTAATAATGTATATTTTCTTCTTGGTGGCATATTATTAATATTAATGATATGTGTATATGCTTAATGACATATAATAAACGAAGCTATTATTAAGAATTATCTCATGTATCACTAATCACTAATATATATATATTTAAGTAACGATTACTAATAACGATATTAATTATATGTCACTTATTATTAATACCACTAATAACACAAAACGATCTTAGAAATAACACCATGTATAGCTCCCACTACGTAACGTGTGTCTTATTCGACGATTCGAACAAAAGTGACCAGCGACTCTTGTCCTCGCAGGATCACTCCTCCACTTCGATTCCCACCATTATAGGATTATTCGCATTTTTTCTGATCGACTTTTTCAGGAAAACGCGGCTTCGGTTCTAGCTCTTGCCCTTCGTCGCCACATCTGAAACCATTGCAGATTTGGCGACCATATTTTATGGTCGATGGTGAAAGTATAGTAAACTGTTCCTTCATGCTCTCTGTGAAACATACACTGATACTCTCACATTGTCCAACGAACGTAGGCTTGTTTTCTTGCCTTTTCCGTCGAATAGTATAACTTCACTGATATTTTCGTTTGATCAATAATACTCTCACATTGTTCCTCATCTTGGAAACAATAATGGACAACTTTTCAAGAATTATAAAAACAAGTCGCATGGTCCGAATAATTGTATCTAAAATATCATAATAAGTATTCGACTCCGATGGTAATTCGCTGGGTTTCCGATTCTGCCTCGATGGCTGCAAGGTTTCTATTTTATTCATTTCTTTTTATACACGATTTCATATTTATTTACTCCATCAGAGTTATGTTGTTTGTCTTGCAAATATCATTTATTCATAAGAAGTAATTGTTAATAAATTGTGTCAATATATTAGATCTTTTAAAACACAGTACTTTTAATACATAGCATTATACAAAATATTTTAAGTACTATAATATATCACACACGATGGAATAAAATAATAAATTAATTTTAATTATGATGGAACACGATATTAAGTTAAATATATAATAAAAACTCTACACGCGCAATTCTGGATCATTCGGTTTGAGTAGATTGGTGTGCTCTAGAAGGTATGGGTAGAACCGTATCGCCAACGGTTAACGATCCCTGACGGAAAACTTGTGTTTCTGAAGACACTCCTCTAGGAGATAGCATCCTAGGCATCGGGTCCCGAGCCTTGATCTTCCCACGACGTCGCTTTGGAAGTGGACTCGTAGTCTCGTGTTCTGGAAATTCGAACCGCATTCGTCTCTGCAATGAGCTATCTAGAGTGTCTCTGGAACGCTTTCCAGTTCTCTGCGAGAGTGCGGTCACAAACTGTGACATTGGAATGAACGTGTTTGATGTAGATGGTCTTGTAACCACGTCATCTGTTTGTGACACTTGTCCCCTTTCAATATTCTGGGATAGGGTCATGGCTGCATGCAAAGTAATGTCGGGTTAGATTAAAACGATCCTTCTGCAAATTGTATTTTTACAAAATGACAATGATGTACCTACCAGAGATACTGTTCACGATAGACTTCACGGCGCTAGCTACTCTATAGAAAAGTCCTCCGGAGCACGTACTATCAACCCTGCTGTTCGACGAATTAGAGTCTCTCCTGGTGACTTCGATCGTTCTGTTTGACGTGGAATAAGATTCTTGACTCCTAATGTCGTAATTCATATAGACGGGCCCTATTGTACGATTGCAAGCAGACCAACCATGGTTGCTGTCACACTGATTACTTTTGGAAGTGATACATTCCAGCTTCTTCAAGCCAGTGTTTACAAGGTCGCTGGTGGAATGGATGGAACTGTTCTCCACGACCATCATCATCACTATCCTCGTCGAATTAGGAGATTTATTAATATTCACGCTGCCTATGTTCGGGCTGCAATTTTCTTTCTGCGTGTTCTTCGCGTTCTCTTCGTTAACCCGTATTCGCAAGTTGGGAATACTATCGCAAGTCTCGTAGAACTCTTCGTTTTCGGTAACATTAACGTTACTGCGCGTATTAGACACCGAGGTAGACTTGTCTTGATCCGAGAATCGTACTTTCTTCGAAGAATCCGATCGCCTCGTCTGTAAGTTATGCACCACCTCACCTTCGACACCGGTCAGCTCCATGTCCACGACCGCATGATTCGCGCTGGAATGCATCTTCGAATTGTGTTCTTCCTGTTCCTTCATGACGCCCAGCTTTTTGGAGTTGCTTTTAGGAAGAAGAGAGTCCTTATTGCTGCGACTCGATAATACTTATCGGAAAGGCGTTTCCTTGTGCGAAGCTGAACACGAGAAGCTGACGTACTTGCTGGTGGTATTGACACGGTTGTCGCTGTGACTCTGACTCTTCGACAACAGGGAGTTTGTCCTCGGAGTCTTCGAGGAGCTTGATTTTTTGATCGATCACCATGGGGGTGCTAGTATTCCTGTACGAGGAATACCAGCTCCGGAGGTGAAGTCAAGGACGCGAAGTTCCCTTTGTACTAGTTTTCCTTTCCGTCTGTCAATGGCAGCGTTCTCAGCCCGTACTTTTGATCCGAAACCATGGAGTGCCGATGTGGAGACTTTCACCACTTGCAGGCGCCTTTATTGGCATGAAACACAAGTGAAAGAAATTTACTTAGATCTTGACGAAGTGTTTTACTTACTGTACTTAGAAGTGATTTATTTGTTGTACTAAGATCCTGATTGAATTGAATTATAACAACTGTCGAACGATTCCAAATATTTGCTCTGCTTGAATCATTTATAATTTATCGTCGAGCGTCTGTTACGGAAATTTCTGGGTCGTACACAACGGACTCTTCAACTGCTCCTTCGAATGATTTTTCTTCTGGCACGGTTCTTAGCATTGGATGCAACAGAACACCTTCTTACACACACACAACAAACCCGGCTTGCCTGTTGAATGACAAATTTTCACTTAATAAGAGGTTTTGTAGATTTGAAGCTTTTGTTATAACTTCCGACAAAAATACCTCAACTGACGACGCGTTTCGAAGAGGTCACATCAACTGAACCGATTCAATGTTTACTGTTTTATATTGGCTAACGCGCCGTACACTGAGTTTTATCTGTAGTAACAGCAATTTGAAAAAGATGTTTCTAATAGATGGCGGAATTTGAAATTGATTTATATTATAAATAGACGAAAGTGTAGTGGAAATTATCACAGTTATATTTGTTTCTGTATTTGTATGCTAAGATTGTAAAAAAAACTGGACCTTCAACCGAAGATAGTTATGCTATCAAAATTTGATGGGATTACAAAGATGAAGTGTTTTATGAATTGCTTCCAAGCAATCGAACTGTTTCAGAATTCAGAAGTATATATAACTTATATATAAGTATATATAAGAAGTAAGTATAACCATTATACAGAATTCTGAAGTATACTGCGAGCAGTTAGATAAATTACAAAGATCTGTCGAGATAAAGCATTTAGAACTGTCGAATCGTAAAGGAGTCGTCTTCCATCACGACAACGCCAGATCCCACACATCGCGTAGGACAAGGCAAAAGATACAGCAGTTGGGCTGGGATGTCCTACCACATCCACCACTCCAGACGTTGCCACAATAGAATTTCATTTGTTTCGTCCTTTACAAAATTCGCTGATTGGAAGGAACTTAATTTTGAAGAGACTGTTGAAGAGCACTCGCAACGATTTCTTGCGGGGGAACATGGGAAATTTTGTAAAAAGAGGATTATGAATTTGCCCAAAAGATGGAAAACTGTTACGAAACACAGTGGAGAATATGTAATCCTATAAAGATATATATATGTAATCCTTTGTATATAAAACATCCTTTCTCATTTACGCCTCAAAAACCGCACGAACTTACTGGCCAACCTAATAGAATCACAAACATAGGATCCTTACAAACATTGCATGCAATGCTTTTTTGTCTCAGGCTCTGAATTACCGACTCTGTAGGAAATGCTGTAATACGATGGCGGACTCTACCGAAATGGTACGGTCAGCTAGTGAACTACATCCGACTGCAACAGAGAAGCTATGTGGCTGAAGTGGCTAAATTTACAGCGTTGCCAGCTTTTAAATGTGCATTGTTGCCGCGTTATATTCCTACGAAAACTATCGATATCTCCGGGCTTCGGGCCTCCAACGAAAGCGTTCAGCGAATTATTCTCTACTTGCCGACGACGGCACGGACTCGGGATACTTACGTATCCTAATGTGTGATTTATTAACGTGTGAAGGTCTATGTTGAACCCTAATATACGAAAAGCAAAGCTACTCTAATGCAAAAACGGACTCTAAGCTACAACATTTTCTATTTGACACAGTTTTAGTAGAGAATTGTATGGCAATTCGTTGTGTTGTTCAAAAATCCATTTTTAATTCTTTATACATATTAAATCGTTAAAATTTTTGTTAAATTTTTAATTCAACAATTTAAATATATTAGTTCAAGGGATCTATATGTTACAAAATCGTCGATATGTATTAAGGGGACCGGAATGTTATGTCGTTTGTTTACATTAAATTCCAACAGATAAATATGCGCAGAAACGACATTACTTTTCGGTCCCCCTAATACCTCGAGAATGTTCTAGGGTAAGTGTCGAGAGGTCAATCACGGTCCATTCAACAGAAAGCATCGCCTTCCCCACCCCATGGTCAGATCCCTTTGGAACAAAGTCCCAATTCTTTGGCCAAGACGGCGTCAGATCATTTGCCTTCCGAAAACGTACATTGTCTCAATCGGAGACCTTTCACGCCCGATAGTCGGAAGACTCAACGTGGTCACGAACCGTCGTCCATCGGCAGGTCTGTTTAGATTCACACACTTCTGAAGCCACGTGCATGTCAAGACCGTATCGTAAAACTGTTAAAGACTGTCAGTCATTCATTCCGAATGTGTAGTTTACAAGATTCATCACATCTATACATAACTCTTTATGAAAAGCTTTATGCAATAAACATCTCGTTTTAATACGTAAAGTACTATGTCTTGGTACAAAAATATTAAGAAAGGCATAAACAATTGCGACATCATAATTGTTCATACGTTCCCATGTATGTATATGCTGATATTCGTACATATACAATAAATTCTTTAACATTGCCCTGTGCTATTCCTACGCCTATGTGCGTTATTCCTACACTTACGCGAAAGTTCGTCGGGATCAGTCAAGCGTATGATGCAGCTCCTTTGACTAGAATTCCCGGAATGGTAGTCATAATACAATAACATAACTTCTTTAATTTTAACATTTCAAAACTAAAAATTTTTCAACATATTGCTAATAGTTCTCTGATTAAAACGAGACCAAACATAATATAGTTTCGACAAATACTTCTCATCACATAAAATAAAATCAATCACGATGTAATTGAATAAATGTGATCTAAAGCACATGTCGTATTTCGTCTCATTTTAATTGAAAGAATCTGACCAATATGTCAAAACAATTTTCATGTATAAAAAATTAGAAACAAAAAAGTTAAGGTATTGTTTCTACTCTAGCATTATTGTGTATTTGTATTAATGTACATCAATATGCTGACTGGTAGCTTTCAAGTTTCCGACTGTCCCGACTTTCGTTCCAACTCTCCCTCTCACACACTCTCGCTCTCCTTCTCGAGATGTCGGCAACCATAAAAGCAAGCCGCGAGGCTCGAAGCGCCGTGTCTGGATTGCCTCAGTTGGCTATTTTCGATTCCCAGACGCGAGACTACTAGGGAGGATTTACCGTAACAACTCGTAATACAATAACATAACTTTTTAAATTTTAACATTTTTAGACTGAATTTTTTTTCAACATATTGCTAATAGTTTCCTGATTAAAATGAGGCCAAACAGGATGTAGTTTGGACAGATATTTCTGATTGCAACAAAATCAAACACACGATATAATTGCGATTAGATTTATTTATTTAATACTTAATATGCTATTCATTTTATTCCAGTATCGCTATGACTATATAAGTAAAATACATTGTTATACATATTAATAATAACTGTACACTAAAAAACTACATCGATATTATGCATAATTATTGATATATTAATTAGGTAAGTGCAAAATTATATTCTACATTAAATTGTTTGTAGCGTAACATCCTTGAAATTGTCTAGTATCGTGACCTACAGTGATGCTTTTCTTCTATTTCCTAATAACAAATAATATAAAGAAGACTAATTTATGAATAATTCAAATTATATACGCGGCAAATGTTTATCATTTCATGAATACGTACTTACTTATCTAATACTCCTTGCCCAAGAAAAATATTTTTATTCCCTGCACCATACACTGTATGCAAGCTGGGGCTGTTGCACTGTAAAATGTCAATCTGTCAAATATTACACGTAATTCATTGTTCCCAATTTCGTCTCTACACCCTTCATAAATTATTTCTTGCGGTTCTTCTTGAAGTTCTGCCGGTTCTTCTTTTATTTCTATATCTTCGTTGTATCTTTCTTCTTCCTCACATTTTAATAAAAATTGTGTAACATGTGCCGGGGTGCATTGTTCTCCCGTGATCTCACTTATCATGCCTTGCCAATCAGGTTCCAGCTCTCTCGTTTTCGATTGAATGGAACGACTAGCAGGATTAATAATTTTATTCGATGCATTTTTAATATCTCTTTGTGTAATTTCCGACCAGGATTCGGATAAAATGTCAATACAGTTTTTTATTGTGTAGTCGGAATAAAATTCACTTATTCCTCCATCATACGTTAAAACACGTTGCAGGAGTTTCTGGCGGAAAATTCTTTTTGTTTTCTCCATGATCCCTTCTTGATTCATTGATTGAGAAATACAAGATCTTGAATTGGTCGGTAAATACATAATTTTAAATTCTTCATTTTCTTGCAGTGAAACATTATGGGCTTCGCAATTATCTAACAATAGGATTACTTTCCCCGATATTTGTTTTTCCTCCTGATATTGTTTTACAGCTGGCTTGAAATGGTTTTCAAACCAATCTAAAAATAATGTTCTGTCCATCCATGCATTTGTCTGCGATTTAAAAATTACAGGCAATGAAACCTCGTGCCTCAATGCTCTTGGGTTTTTATATTTATAAATTACAAGAGGCATAATCTTATGCGTGCCTAACGCATTTACACATAAGCCAATTGTAATTCGTTCTTTCTTCGCCTTATGTCCACATAGATTTTTTTCTTCTCCAGCCAGTATTTTCGTCGGAACGGTCTTCCATAGAAGTGCACTTTCATCCATATTGTAAATATTTTCTAAACTTATATTTTCTTCCTTTATCATTTTTTTTAAATTATTTACAAATGCATCAGGCTCAATCTGATCAACATTATTTTTCTGCTTGTACCTATCTACTAATCGTATGCCATTACGTCTTTTAAATTTTGTTAACCATCCACGACTTACTTTAAATCGCGAATATGACGGCAAATTTTCTTTGAATTCCATCGCTTTTTTTAACATAAGAGCATCGGTTACACGGTAACCAAATGTTCTTCTTTGTTCGAGCCATGCCAATAATTGTTTATCTACTTCGTTATACAGTGGCTTGACTAATCTTCGTCGCTTTTGTTCGCGGCTACTTTTATCTGCAAACGCATTAATTTTTGTAGCATTTTTTGCAATGCTTCGAAGTGTTCTGGGGCCAATGCCATATTTAATTCCAATTTGTGCAGGTAACAATTTTTTCTCTCGAAGATCCTTCAAAACAGCCAAGCGTTGCTGCATGTTTAATAATGTATATTTTTTTCTTGGTGGCATATTATTAATATTAATGATATGTGTATATATTTAATGATATATATAATAAACGAAGCTATTGTTAATAATTATCTCATGTATCACTAATCACTAATATGTATACATTTAAGTAACGATTACTAATAACGATATTAATTATATATCACTAATTATTAATACCACTAATAACACAATACGATCTTAGAAATAACACAATGTGGAGCTCCCACTAGGTAACGTGTGTCTTAACCGACGATTCGAACAAGAATGACGAGCGACTCTTGTTCTCGCAGGATCACTCCACTACTTCGATTCCCACCATTACAGGATTGTCGGTATTTTTCCTGGTCGACTTTCTCAAGAAAACGCGGCTACGGTTCCAGCCCTTGCCCTTCGTCGCCACATCTGCTACCCACCGTTGCACTATCGAGCTGAATTTCGAGGATCTTGTGACTAAACAGTGTCGTTCTCCCTCGGCGTATTCCATAGTCGATAGAGGAAGTACAGTAAACTGTGCCTTCTCGCTCTCCGTCAAACGTAGGCTGATACTCTCACATTGTCCCTCGAACGTAGGCTTGTTTTCTCGCATTTTCCGTCGAATAGTATAACTCCACTGATATTTTCTTTTGTACGATATAGTCTTATCTTGTTTCTCAGCTTGGTTATCAACAATTATAAAAACAAGCCACAAGGCTCGAATAATTGTATCTAAAACACCATAATAAGTATTCGACTCCGATGGTAATTTGCTGAGTTACCGATTGTGCCTCGATGGTTGCAAGGTTTCTGTTTTATCGATTTCTTCCATTATACACGATTTCATATTTATTTACTCATTCATATAGTTACGTTGTTTGTTTTGCAAATGTCATTTATACATAAGAAGTAATTATTCATAAAGTGTGTAAATATATTAGACCTTATAAAAAACAGTACTTTCAATACATAGCATTATGCATTATAATATATCACACACAATGGAATAAAATAATAATTATGATAGAGAGAATGCATTATTAAGTTAAATATGTAATAAAAACTTCGCACGCGCATTCAGTTTGTGTAAATTGGTGTGCTCTTGAAGGGAAGGGTAGTACCGTGTCACCAATGGATAACGATACCTGACAAGAAACTTGTGTTTCCGAAGATACTCCTCTAGGAGATAGCATCCTAGGTATCGGATAGCCCACTTTGGAAGTAGACTCGTAGTCTCGAGTTGTGGGAATTCTAAACGCATTTGCCTCTGCGATGAACTATCTACAGTGTCTCTACAACGCTTTACAGGCCTCTGTGAGAGTGAGGTTGTCACAGTTTGTTAACTGTGACATTGGAATAAATGTGTGTAGAGATTCTTGAAACGCTAGCTTACTTGCTGGTAGTCGCCGTGACTCTTCAACGACGGGGAGTTTATCTCCGGAGTCTTCGAGGAGAAATCCGAGACTATCGGTGTCTATAAATCCAACTTGATTTTCTGATCTGACATGAAATACAAGTGAAAGAAATGTACTTAGATTCTGACGAAGTATTTTACTTACTGTACTTAGAAGTGATTTATTTGTTGTATTAAGATCCTGATTGAATTGAATTATGACAATTATCGAACGCGATTTCAAATATTTGCTCTGCGTGAATAATTTATAATTTATCCTCGAGCATCTGTTACGGAAATTTCTGGGTCGTACACAACGGACTCTTCAACTGCCCCTTGGAATGATTTTTCTTCTGGTACGGTTCTCAGCATTGGATGCAACAGAACATCTTCTTACACACACAACAAACCCGGTTTGTCTATTGAATAACAAATTTTCACTTAATTGGAGACCTCTCATTAAGATTAGAGGTTTGTAACTTTATATATACTTATTATATATACTTCCGATAAATACCTCAACTGACGGCATGTTTCGAAGAGGACACCTCACCTGTGTTATAACTGTCACTTACTGTTTCATATTAGATAACATAAACTGAGTTTTACCTGTACTAATGTCAATTTTAAACAATTATTCTAGTAGATGGCGGAATTTGAAATTGATTAATATTATGAATTGACGAAAGTGTCGTAGAAATTATCAGTTATATTTGTTTCCGTATCTGTAGGCGAAGGGTGTAAAATAATGATCGAAAATCTAGAGACAGTAATATTTTCACTGAGATTTCTTCTCCTCCTTGCTGATAAACACATTTTTATTTAATATGACGAGGATCGTTATGTACGGCATATCTCTGTCTCATGGATACTGCTTCGCTGTTGTCATAATTTACACATTACATAATACAAAACATCTATTCATTAACTTCACAGATATACCGCAATAATAATAATAAATTATATGATAATACAATGAGAAAATCTCTAAAACGAATTCTAGCATCGTAAAACTTACAAATTCAATAAAGTTGTAAATACTTATATGCAGAAAGAATGTATAAAGCCATTGCAATATACTTCCTTTAAGTACTTAATTATTACACGTAACAGTACGCATGTTTATACAAATAATTGTTTTGTATATCTTATTTCTGTAGTACACGTTTCATTTTAGCAAAAATGAAGTACATATTTGGGATATTCGCTTTTTACCACGTCCTTAAAATTATGAACAGCCGGTAAGATTGGTCACGACTCCGAAAATATTTTTCGGCTGATTATAGCGTCCTCTTTTGGTGAAGCGTAGGAGGCACGCATCACATGTGCTTCACTACACTACCATTGCTGATTAACACAATCGGAGCGACCACAGTGGTCATAACCCTTAAAAAGGGATTTATAATTGTTGATTTTTTTGGTGATAATTACTAACGTATGACACGACAGGTCTACGCTAGTTACAATATTTGAACCAGTTTTTACAATGGCCGTGCCTTCTTCATTCGCTGTTGATGATATCGTGCACTTAAACGTCGGAGGAACAAGGTATAGAAAGAGAAAGTTTTTTGTTTAATTTCTCCCGTCTATTACTTATACAATTTTTTTTTTTTTTAATTGATTGCTCCAAGTTACGCATTGTGACGCGCGTAGTTTACAAAATACTACAATAGAAAGATTTCGATTGTATAATATGAGACTTTGTATATGAATTTTAATGCTTTGTATAAACTTTGTAGATAGTATCATTACAGGTGGATTATAAATTAATTAAATAATTTCTATTGTGTTGTTTAACGTTCACTGAAACCAACTGCAATGCTTTCGATATATTTGGACAATTTGTCAATAAAATCTGCATTATATTCACAAATTGAAAAAAAAAATTAGAAATATAAAATTTGTTGTGCATTGGTTTCACATGTTTTTATATAGATTGCTAATGAGATAACATTTTTTATGCTTATAATTCTTGTGTTCATTCTTTTGTTCAGGTTTTCAACATCAAAACAAACATTAACATGGGTACCAGATTCATTCTTTACCACATTATTAAGCAACCGTATCGCCAGCCACAAAGATGAAGATGGAGCATTGTTTATAGACAGAGATCCAAAACTGTTCTCTATTATATTGAATTATTTAAGAACTAAAGACATTGATTTGAAAAGTGTAGATCTTCGTACCTTGCGACATGAAGCTGAGTATTATGGTATATTACCGTTAGTTAAACGGTTAATGTTATGTGAAGATTTGACACAATCTTCTTGTGGGGATGTTTTGTTTTATGGTTATTTGCCACCTCCAAGTAAGTGTTTACATGATCTCATAAAGATTAATGGAATTATAAATTTGTATGTTTTGTCAAAGGTATACCATTACAAGAGCCCACCACCACCGCCACATCAAATGCATCAGATGTATCTGTTCATAGTAGAACTACTACTACTACTACCACTGCTACAAATCCAAAAGCAGATGCACCATCAACTTCTCAGAGCACAGCTCCATCAACCACCAATGCAACTCAAAATAGCAGTGGTAATAATTTTTTATTGAAATAAATGAATTATTTTAATTCTACATTATTACTATTATTTAATATGTTATTATTTTAGGTCAACAAAACCATAAAGGTACGCTTGGGACACATGTAAGGAATTCTTCATTGGACTACAGAATTCAGCCAAGGGGCTTGCCGTATTCACGTACATCATCTCTAGACTTAAGGCATGTTAGGAATAATTCAGCAGACTTGAACAAATTGCATAAGAATGATTTAAGTTTGGTATTTGGACCCCAGCAAGGTAAATGATCAAAAACTCCATGTTTACAAATTCTAGTAAACTCTTGCTAATACTGATTATTCACACAGCTTCTTCTTGGGTGGATCCTTTGAGAGTTCAAATCATAAAGGCTCATCACAATTGGATTGTGATTGCTTACGCGCATTTCATAACATGTTACCGACTTAAAGATTCATCTGGATGGCAACATGCATTTACTAGTCCTCACATTGAATCAGTAATCGAAAGGGTAGCAATAACATCGAAATTAAACACTAGTGTAGACGTTAACATGGTCGCATTTTCTTATGGGAATCAAGTTACATTATGGAGCGTCTCGGCAAACGGAATAAACATAAACATTGGTACATTTAATTTAAATGTTCGTATAGAATATTTATTTTTTATTGGGAGTCAATTAGTTGCCTTGTCTTCTACTGACAAGATTGGTGTATGGCATGCTATGACACACCATTGGCAAATACAAGATGTAGTGCCCATTTTGTCATTCGACACGGCTGGCTCTTTTCTTCTCTTGGGGTGCAATAATGGATCAATTTATTACATTGGTAAGAAGGATAAAAACATTTCTAATACTTAGAACAGATTTTCTAATTGAAATTACATGTTCTTGACTTTCAGACATGGAAAAGTTCCCTTTGCGAATGAAGGACAACGATCTACTTGTAACCGAATTGTACCGTGATCCAAATTATGATCCCATTACAGCCATATCCGTTTATTTAACGCCAAAGACATGTAAGTTTTCACGAACGCTCCTTACGTAACACAGTATTATCTTGATAAACGGCTTAACACGAAAATTCAAAGGTAAATAATAACTAATTGATGGTTCATAACATTGAGTATTACAGCATCTCTATTGCAGAAACACCTTTTCAAGTGACGTACAAATAAATGGACTAAAATATAATTGTTTAATCTGCTTATATTGAGGAATGTAATAACAAACGTCACTTTAACGATAAATGCTTTTCTCTTTGTTTTACATTAAAGATTTATTAGATATACTGTTGTGTTACACTTTTAGCTAGAATATGAGTAAGCAAATGTAAACATAATTCTGAATATAGTCTGTTTTTCATAAAGAGATCAAGTTATTGATAGATTGACACACGAAAAAAATACTCAATTTATATGCAAAAATTCTAATGTCTCTCTATCGCAAAGTGTAATACTATCCCATAACTATTAATGAGAGTTTATTATTACATTCTTTGCTTCATGATTTCGTACAACTGGATATATAGCACAAGGCAAGTATGGGTCGATATAACAATGTTCTATAATATTCTCACATTCAAGTCACGGTTCAAAATAACATGTTTCTTTACATTTTGTATTGCATTGATTTGAATACTTGTATCCATACCCTTCCTCTCCAGACGTAGTACATCGTTTTGCACTTTTTAATTAAAAAAAAAACATACATATATATATATCTATATATCTATTGATGTATATAAATATATATATGTGTTTATATACATCAATTGCTTTCATTCACATATACTTTGAATACGAGCACATTGAGTAAAATAACTTCTGTCTACACAAAAACACTTTTAAATGTTATTTTCTCTTTTAGATTGCACTAATCGCACACAGCCCGCTTTTCCTTATGCGTCCAGTTGTACTACCGCAAATTATGTCGTTTCTATGTCCCATTTATTTTATTAACATCTGCTTGGAAACATCGGTTATGCAATTTATTTGTCTGGGCTCGAATTAATTTTCATTCATAGAGCATCCTGCTTGCTCCGTTCAATCCAATATATCATACAACAGGATCTGAGAGGGGAAGGAAAAGGAACAGTCAACACGTACCTCTTCTTGCATATAGTTGTTTTACATTTACATAGTTTCAGACGCATATTAACATCATTCTGTTTGTTCAGAACAATTGAATCGTTATCGCCTACTTTGTATATATATATATTTAGATACTTTGTAGTAAATGTTCAAAATTTTCTCTGAAATCTAAATTACATGTAGCTTGCTAATGAAAGAATACTACCAATGTCTTGTTCTGCATAATTATTCTTTATTGATTGTCACAGTACAAAGCATGTGATATAAAGATTTTTCATTTTCTCTTCATTGAAATATATGTGCACAAAGGATTTTTCCCATTACTCTAATTTTCAATACATGTGATATTTGCATTGTATCACCTACATTTTTTTTTAACAAGTGTATGTAGTTCACATTGACGACATAGGAGTTTTTCAAGTAGAATGGTCTTGTATAAATTGTTACTCTTTATACAGCTCTGTGTGGCAACTGGATCGAAATTGCATACGGCACCAAATCCGGCAGTGTTAGAGTCATTGTACAACATCCTGAAACTGTAGGACACGGACCACAATTATTCCAGACATTTACAGTACATCAAAGCAGCGTGACAAAAGTATGTTCATAGTTACTTACTACTCTACATAGTATTTTCTGTCTTCACTACTTGTAATCAAAGTAACAACAAATTTCTTCTGCAGGTAACATTATCAGAGAAGTATTTAGTATCAGTTTGTTCCGAGTATAATCACGTTAGAAGCTGGGCTGTAAAGAGGTTCCGTGGAATGATCTCTACTCAGCCTGGATCTACACCGGAAGCAAGCTTCAAAATTGTATCCTTAGAAGCAATTGAACCTTGCATCAGCTATAATGCTGGCAATGATTTCGGTATGTAGAATTAATATAATTACACTCTATTAATTCAATATTACTAGTAATAGCAAAGAAATTTCATTGACTGTACATTACCATATAGGGCCGTTCGGAGAGCAAGATGATGAACAAGTGTTTGTTCAAAAAGTTGTACCTGAGACTGATCAGTTGTTTGTACGCTTGGCATCGAATGGAAAACGAGTGTGTGTAATTAAATCGGTAGATGGTAGCATTATTAGTTCATTTTATGTACACGAATGCGAAGGGTCTAGCCGAATGGGTTCAAGGCCAAGGCGTTTCATATTTACTGGCCATTCTAATGGTACCATACAAATGTGGGATCTTACAACAGCCTTAGAGCCGACATTCTCTTCTACGCAAAGTAATTTGTTATGCCTGAAAAATACGTTTAGTACTACTTTGTACTAATTTGTGCTAATAAATATTTTGGTTACAGATGTTTCCGGTGGACCTACACCTGAAGAACTTTGGAAGCTATTAGATCAGTGCGACTTAAGCAACAGTTATTCCTCCACACCATGTATTAGTCCGTGTCCATCAGTTATATCCCAATCGGGCCCTAGCTTAAAAACAAGTAATGTACTGTTCCTCAACCAATCGCAAAACTTTGAAGCCACTCCTGGAACTAGCCAAACCTGAAGGTAGCGTGAAAAGAAATATTTTTTACATTTTTTTATGTTATTAAACATAACTGAATTTGCATTGCTAGCATCTGCATTTATTTATTTATTTATTTATTACGGGTCATTTACACGTAAAAGTCTGCAGTTAGAGTTCCTAGTAAACGATTCTTCTGATATATCTGATGATTTTCGTAATGATTTTCTAAGTCACTTTATCTGAAGTGTAATATGAAAGTGATATATAGTTAACAAAGTATATGCACATTAGACATAAGAACTGTATGATAGAGTAATTGTATGATAATTGATGTGTTTGATAAGAAAAAAAATAATGTTGTTTGAATATTAAAATTGAACACTATTAATGTATTAATTGCAATTTTATGATCTAAAATGTTTTTGAGTAAAAAGATTTAATATGACGATTTAGCTATAATGTATAGTTATATATATATTATTCTAATG